GGGACATTCTGGACCTTCATAGTGATCCAAGGCTGGGCCTCCATGATGGGGACATCCAGGACCTTCATGGCCATCCCAAACAGGACCTTCATGGCCATCCCAAACTGGACCTTCGTAATGGGGACATCCTGTACATTTGTGGCCATCCAGGCAGATCCCCATCATGGAGACATCCTGCCTCTGAACATGACCGTGCCAGGTCTCACCACAGGGACAGACCAACCTTCCATGGCCATTGCTGGACCAGTYGTAGGGTTGGGCTTTCGTAGGGTTTCGTAGGGTTGCCCCAATGGGGCAACGTTGACCCACGCGGTCACGCCAGGCCTGCCCCCGGGAGTGGTGGTGTGGAGGGACACGGTGCTGTTCCCCCAAGGTRCCACCATGCTCTGTCCCCAGGGCAGGAACGCGGCCACCGGCGAGTCCGGCTGGTTCCCCTGCTCGGTCGTCCGGCCCTACATCTGCGTGAGTAGCCACCCCATGCTGGGGTGGGGGACGGGACACCCCAAAAAGCCCTGGGTGGGGAGGACACTGCATCCCATTGGGGGTTCTTGGGGATCGCGGGTCACAGTGAGGAGGTTGGGGGCCTTGTGGTGGAGGGGAGCCCAAGTGTGACCCCCCAGCTCTGCTCTTCTTGCCCCCCAGATGCCGCTCCCGGATCTCTCTGTCTACCTCTGGTCAGTGCTGGGGTCCCACATCCTTTCCCGGGGTTGTCCCATCCCTCATCCCCTCCCAACTGTCCCCGTTCCCCCCTTTCCCTCCTGGGATCACCCCAAAACTGAGTCCTCCAAATCTTCCCCTGGGGGTCTCCATCCTTTTTTGGGGGTTCCCATCCCTCCAGGAACCCCCTCAACCCTTCCTTGGGAGCCCACCATCCCCTCCAGGGTCTCCCAATAGGTCCTGGGACACTCCACCTTGCCCCCTGATCCTCCCTGGGGTCTCCCCATCCCTTCTGAGGGGTTCCCATCCCTCCAGGAGCCCCCTCAACCCTTCCTTGGGAGCCCACCATCCCTTCCAGGGTCTCCCCATAGGTCCTGGGACACCCCACCTTGCCCCCGATCCTCCCTGGGGTCTCCTCATCCCTCTTATTGACACCCTCTCCTCCAAAAGTCCTCTCCCAGGGCACCSTATCCCTCCTATGATCCCTTCAACCCTCACTGGGGTCTCCTTGGGGCTCCCCCAGATCTCCTACATCTGCCCAAGATCTCCCGTTCCCCCTGGGGCTGCCCCATAGCTCCCAGACCCCCCCCATTGAGGTCCCCCCTGGGAGGCTCCCCCCATCCCTGGTGCAGCCCCTCCCTTATTTCCCCCCACTTCTGCCCCACATCCTCCCCTCTTGTCACCCCCAAGGTTCCTCCAACCCTCCCATGGGGTCTCCTTCTCTCCGGGACCTCCCAGATCCCCCCGTATGGGGCTGGGGGGGTGGGTTGGGGGCTCAGCCACCCCCCTTCACCCTATGGCTCCCCCCAACCAGGTACGCGGGCCCCATGGAGCGTGGGGAGGCCGAGCAGCTGCTGACGCCCCGCTCGGACGGCACCTTCCTGGTGCGGCAGCGGGTGAAGGACGCCGGCGAGTTCGCCATCAGCATCAAGTAACGCCCGCGGGTGGTGGGACCACTGCGGGGGACACTGGCCCATGTGGGTGCCCAACGTCACCGTCCCCCCCATGCCCAGGTACCGGGCYGAGATCAAGCACATCAAGGTGATGACGGCTGAGGGGCTCTACCGCATCACGGAGAAGAAGGCCTTCAAGGGGCTGGTGGTGAGTGTGGAGCGTGGAGCTCCTTTCCCCACCCGGGTCCCTTCCAGGAGGGAGCTCCTGGCCCGTGTTGGGGCTGCTGGGGACCCTGGTGCCTCCTCTGCTTGCTCCCCAGGAGCTGGTGGAGTTCTACCAGCGCAACTCGCTCAAGGACTGCTTCAAAGCCCTTGACACAGTGCTGCAGTTCCCCTTCAAGGAGCCRGAGCACCGGGTCAGCCCGCGGCCACCGGGTAGGGTCCACGGGGTTGCGCCCCAAGGGTGGTGGTGGTGAGGTGGAGGTGGTGGCCTTAGCTCTTGTCCCAGGATGTCCTGGAGGAGCTTGGTGGGACAAATGGCCAAAGGGGGCCAATGGTCAAATGGTTAAGGGTTGGGCCATGCGGGTCAACCATGGGGTCAGATGGTCCAGGGGGACTGGTTGAGGTGGGATGGTCAAGGAGAATGGTCGAGCAGGAGGATCAGCTGAGAATGGATCGGCAGGAATGAATGAGTCAAGGTGGAGAGGGGGTCAAGGGGACACTCGAGAGATGGGTGGGGATGGAGATGACCATGGGGACGGGCCAAGGGATGGGCTGGAAGAGATGAGTTGAAGGGAATGGTCAACTGGATGGGCCAAGGGATGGACCAAGAGAGATGAGTCAAGGATGATGGCCAAGGTATGGGCTGGGGGATGAGCCAAGAGAAGACGGGTCAAGGTGGTGACCAAGGGATGGACCAAGAGAAGATGGGTCAAGGATGATGGCCAAGGGCTGGGCTGAGTTGAGGCCAACGGGACCTCAACAGGACCAAGGGCTGGGCCAAGAGGCACAGGATAGGGGTAACTACCACAGTATGGACTGAGAGAGATGAGTTGAGGCCAATGGGACCTCAACGGGACCAAGGGATGGGCCAAGGAACGGGTCAAGGCGACCCATCAAGTCTGAAGGACCTCGTCGAGGTCCACGGTGGGGCCTGGATGAGACGGAACCGAAGAYGATGGGTGGAGGAGGCCCAAGGCTGGGCCCAGAGGGTCACCCCGGTGGCTCGCATGTCCCCGCCGCAGGCGCCGTGCGCTACTTCGGCTCGGCCAAGGTCCGCTACGACTTCTGCGCGCGGGACCGCACGGAGYTGACGCTCAAGGAGGGCGACGTGATCCGCATCCTCAGCAAGAAGGGCCACCCGGGCTGGTGGAAAGGGGAGATCTACGGGCGGGTAGGGACCCCCCCTTGACCTCGTGTCCCCCCAAATGCCTGGGGCCCCCTCTTGGGTGATGTCCCCCGTTCTGTGTGTCCCCCGTGTCCTTCCCAGGTGGGCTGGTTCCCGGCGAACTACGTGGAGGAGGATTACTCGGAGTACTGCTGACCTCGCCTCGGAGCATCCCGGGTTTCGGGGTGCGGGAAGGCGGCGCCGAGGCCCCCCCAGTGGCCATGCCCACCGGAGACCCCCCCTTTTTCCATATTAATTTATAACCCCCCCCATAAATCCCCCCAGGAGGGGCAATAAATGAGGGAGGAGGCTGCGGATCCGAGTCCTCTTTCGTTCCCGCGTGGAGGCCGGTGGGGAGGCCAGGAGGAGGGGAGGCCGGGGGAGGGCGTTACATGCGTCAAGCTGCTGCCGGTCTCAGCCCTGGGGTGAGGAAGGGGGTGGCGGGGGGGAAGGCGTGAACCACTTCCCCCTCCGGCTCCTGGCACCTCCGGATGGKCCGGAGGAGCCTCCGGCTTTTTTTGGGGAGGGAGAGGAAGGTAGAGGAGGAAGGTCCCGACATGGGGCTCAGGGGTGAGTGGGGCAAGGGGGGAAACTGAGGCAGGGGGTGTTGGGGTGGGGGTGAAGAGGAAGCTGGGGGGATGTTGAAATAGCGCACCCCCCCCTCCTCCGGCCACTTCCGTGCCTCCGGAATGAGGCACCCGTGCCAGAGGCTCCAGCCTCCATTGGGGGAGGCGTCAGCGCCGATTGCAAGGGGGGGTTGAGGCTGGATTTGGGGGGGGGGGCAGT